AAGGAATTAACCAGCCCGATGTTAAACAGATAGTAAGTGGCAGTCAGGACTAGAACTCAGGACTATCTGCCCTGCTGTCAATGGCAATGAATTTGGCACGCATGTGATCCCCAAGTGAATTACGAGAGCAGGAAATCCAAGTGAAAGTAAACTAATTATTCTTAGGTATCTTCACGGTGGCCTTCAAACACCTTAAAGGAAACCTGAAGGATGAACTCGGGAGTTCCCAGCCAACTTTCAAAGATTCGTGTCATCTGAGGATCAGACATCTGAAGGAGCTGGGCTTTTATAAGCCAGGTTTGAGAAGCCTGGGTTTGGTGAAAGTTCAATATGCTGTGGTACGGTAGTTGCAGTCATGTCCGACTCTTCATGAACCCCTTTGGGTTTTTTTGGCAGAGATACTGGAGTGGTTTGCCATTTCCTTCTCCAGCTCAAAACTGAGGCAAGCCAGGTAAAATGACTTGTCTGGGGTCACACAGTTAGTAAGTGTCTGAGGCCAGATTTGAACTCAGAATGATAAGTCTTTCTAACTCCACTGTGCCACCTGGCTGCCCAGTTCAAATATAGCCACATTCACATATTTGTGAAGGGCTGCCTTTTAGAAGGAAAAGACATTCTTTGTTCAATTATTAAAATAAAAAACAACACCTCAAACAGTCAAAAAAGGGTGTTCAGGGGGAATGTAAAGATGAACACAAAATGGTCTCCAGGGAAATGGAAATGTAACCAAATCATCATATTCCAAGACGGAAAGTGTGTAAGTACCAGACGAAGAGAATAAAGAGAGTACCTTGGAAACAGAGAGGGCAGTTTGATCCCGAGGGGGATGGCAGAGGGAGAAGGCTTTGTGGAAAAGAAAGCTTTGAGCTCAGTCTTAAAAGAGGATTACTTCTTCCTTCCAGAAGGAGGGGCCCCCAAGGACCAGCGGGAGCCCACACCTTTGAAATAAGCATTTGATACTGATGGCTGTGATGAAGGTGATAACGACAAAAATGGATGATTCTAAAGCCCTTTATGAATGGCAAAGAACAGGAAATTGGCAACAATGATGACGATGGCTGTCACTTCTATAGCAGCTACTACGTGCCAGGCACTGTGCTAAGCGCTTTACAGATAATATCTTGTTTGATCCTCATAAACAATCCTGGGAAGGAGGTGCTATTATTCTTCCTATTTTACAGTCGAGGAAACTGAGGCAAATAGAGGTTAGGCAACTTGCCAAAAGTCACACTAGTAAATACTTGTCTGAGGCTGGATTTCAACTCATGTCTTCTTGACTTCAAGCCCAGTGCTGTATCTACCATGCTACCTCCCTACTCCCTAAGTCACCACCTGGACAGCCTATTAGCATCTCAAAAACGACAAGTCCAAAACAAACCTCTTTTTCCCCCCTCTGTAAGGTATTTCCTCCTTCTGATCTCACCATTTTGGGCAGTGTCTTTAACAACCTTTCATCCATCAAGATGCCCAACTACAGAGCTCTCTACCTTTTTGCTCATCCCCCATATCCATTCAGTTACCATGTCACATCAACCCTGCTCCCACAGCATCTCTTACATCTGTGCCCATTACCTCTCCACTCCCTTGATTACTGCCCTACTTCAGTCCCTCACTACCTCTCACTTGGATTTTTGATGTTGCCTTATAAGCACCCCCAGCTTCTCCTCTCTCTCCCCTGCAAGCCATTCAGCATGTGGTGGCAAAAGTAATCTTCCTGATGCTTATCTGAATGTATCACACTCTGGCTGAAGAAACCTCAGTGGCTCCTTCTTGCCTCTAGAATAAAAAAAAATAAAACTCCTCAGCTTTGTATTTCCTTTCTCAACATGGTGACCATCTACCTTTTTCAGGATCTTTTTTACATATTACTCCTGTTTGTGCAATAGAAGCTAAGCTGGACTTACTTGCTATCCCCCCTACTCAACATTCTTCTTGCTGATGCCTGACCCTGTACCTGAAATGCTTTTCCTCTTGACTTTTGCCTTTTAGCACTTCTGGCTTCCCCAAGGCTCAGCCCAGATGTTACTTTTAGGAGAAACCTTTCCTTGCCCCTTTGATGACAGCATCAATGACCAAGAAACAGAAAGAATTTCATTTTACAGATAAAGAAACTCAGGCCCAGGGACATTAAAGGACTGAACCGAAGTCACATATGTAGTGAGTATCAGAGTTGGATTTGAACCCAGATTCAGGGCAGCTAGGTGGTGAAGTGCACAGAACCCTGGGTCTGGAATCTGGAAGACTCATCTTCCTGAGTTTAAATATGGCCTCAGAGACTTTCTAGCTGTGTGGCTCTGGACAAGTCACTTAAGCCTGTTTGCCTTAGCTTCCTCATCTGTAAAATGAACTGGAGAAGGCAATGGCAAACCAGTCCTGTATCTTTGCCAAAAGAAACCAAACCCAAATGGGGTTGTGAATCATCAGATATGACTGAAACGCTTCAGTAACAACAAACATTGATTTCAGAGTCAGGATGTTTCCACTCGCAATAAATGTTGTTAGCACTGATTCCCTCCTCAGATTACCACGTATGTACTCAGCTCTGTTCATGGCACATCATGTGACCAGTACAGTGTAGGTTTTAGGGAAGGGGACAGTTTTCTTTTTATCTGGGTCCTCCTGGGGTCTTGTCTGTAAGAGATGCCGAATCCATGTTCCAGGATCGGCTCTTTAATTCTTCCCTTTCCTTCTCACCTCTCAGGTCTAATCAGTTCCCATGTTCCCTTACCTCCTGATTGTGCAACATGGCTCCCATGTGGCCCTTCCTCTCTGTTCTCATTGCCATCATCCAAGAAAGACCATTATTATTACTCTCCTGGATCATTAATGGAGCCTCCTAACAGGTCTTCCCATCTCCACTCAATCCCCCTCCAATCTCTTTCATATCCAGGCCTTCTTTATCCAGACGAGATATCCGGTCATACCAATCACTGCAAACATTTTTTGTGATTCCCTGTTACTTACTGAGTCAAGTTCACATTTCTGTGCCCAGCATCCTAAGTCTTCTCCAATTTAGAAACACTGCAACTTTCTAAGTCCACCCACCCCTTTGGCCCCAGCCCCAGTCAAGCTGGATTATGCTTAGCCTTTTCAATGAGCCCTATTCTCTTGCCCTTCCTTTTCTTTCCTTCTTTGCCTATCGATATGTCTCTCTCCACTTCATCCTCCCATCTTTTACAGCTTCCTCAATTGCCACCGCCTCCAGGAAGTCTGCATAGAATCACAGAATTTCAGAGCTAAAAGAAAATTCAGTGGCCATCTAGTATAAGCCATAACTGAATAGGAATCCATCTACAACAGTTTCATCAAGTCTTTGGATGATGATGGCCAGAGGGGGTGTTCACTCCCTTCTGAAGTAGCTCACGACTCTTTAGGATGGCTGTAATGGCCCTTAATCATGTAACCAGTAAGCACTGATTAAGCATCTGCTACGGGGCAGACGCTATGCTAGGAAGGGGTGAGTTTCCAATTTTTCCTCCCATCCACCCATTTTTGGTAGTTTGCACACCTTCCTGGGCCCTGCATTATCATCAGTAGCATCTTAATAGCTGATATTTATGGGATGCTTTAAAGTTTCCATGCATCATCTCATTTGACTCAACAACAATCCTGATCTACTAAATGTGGATCTATTTTACAGATGAGGAAACTGAAGGGAGGTCATGACTTGTCCAGAGGGGCCTAATGAGTGAATGTCAGAAGTGGAATTTAAACCTGGGTATGCTTGATCCCAACTCTGGGCCTCTAGCCTCTGCACCACTTAATGAGCTTTCAGAGGGTATACACCTGGACAGTAAAGGTTCTGGTGCCCAGAACGAGAAGGAACGGCCTCACCCACCTGAGAAGACACAGGTTCAGATGTATATTAAACTGTGTCAGATGAAATTTATGACCAGAATGGATTACCATTGGCTGCTAGGTGACCCAGCAGGCCAACATGTGGGACACGCTTTCCAACCTTAACACAATGAAGGGAGTGGGCTTTCTTACCTTGTGCTGAGGTGGCTAGAGCTCTGTGCCTGGATATAGGAAGAAGACCTGTGTCCAAGATCTGTCTCAGATACTTCCTAACTGCGTGACCCTGGATAAATCACTTCAGCTCTGTCTACCTCAGTTTCCTTAACTGTAAAATGGGGGATAGTAACCTCCCAGGGTGGTGGTGGGGATCCAGTGAGGTAATACCTGAAAAGTGCTCAGTGCAGTGCCTGGGATGTTATAGGCTGTTAATAAATTATTCCCTTCTCTTCTAATAATTAACATCTCTTAATGAGGAGGCATTTCCTGATCCACCTAGTAGTAAATATTTGCCTTTAATTAGTTTGGTATATTTGGCACATTTCAGTTCCTCCTACAGACCATAAGGTCTTGGAGGGCAAAAATTTTCCTTTTTGTCTTTGTATTCTGGCACAAAGCAGCACTTAACAAATCTCATTACAAATGACTCTGTGACATTTTAATAATGACCACTCACTTAGTCTACTCAAGGGGCTGCACTTCCCTTGCCCTTCATAGATTATAAGCTGCTTGAGGGCAGGGGCATCCTTTTTTTTTTTTGGCTTTGTATCGTATTCCAAGTACCTAGCTCTGTGCTTTACACATAGTAGGTACTTATTAAATGCTCATCAAATTGAATTGAATTGGTCAGTTAGAAGCCAAAGGTGCCATATTTCCATTTCTAGTTCCCCGAGTCTACATAGGTGCCCAGTGCTTGCCTGACTTTAATTTGATTTATGACAATAGCAAGTTGATGTTTCAATTTACTGAACCCAATTGTATAATAAATAGGAGACCCAGGAGGTTAATTTTTGCAGTTTAATGCCTATCCTGGAGTTTGATGGAGTTTACCTAGTCTTTCATTTAAACAAAAGTGGCAATTTATCACTTTGAGACTTGTACTCCTTTCAAACCACTAGAGACATCGCCAAGCTCATCTGGCCTTATTACAGGCTGGTTTAATGACCCCAGTTTATGGGGTACCCAATTAAGAATCAGATACTTACTTTTCTGCAGTGAGGTAATTCGGTTCAGCAGCAGCTATAAGGAGGAGGGGAAAGAAGAAAGCTCAACATTTCTGTTGTTTTATAATGGCATGAGTCATATCGCAGCCCTTACCACGCTGGGGCAGATTTTTGCCATGGTGGGTGAGCTACACCAAGAAAGTGTGAGCCATGAGTGGTACCAGTCTGCTAAAGCTTTCACATGGGAAACCAATTGCCCTCAGGGCTTGGGAGTATCTTATGTGCCTCTCTGGGTATCTGTTTTGGATGCTGACCTAACCTCAGCACCAAGACATCAGTTTCCACCTCGCCAGATCTCCAGGGAATGCCACTGTATTATCTTTAGCCTTCTAGTAGGTTATTTATTCTCTCCAACCCACACCTAATTTTCCTCAGTGTGTGAAGGGAAAATAATTCAATGGAAACCAGATCGTATGAAGATTTTTCAAACACTAACTGTTTGTAGTTTGCCTATACTTTGCCCTCACCTTGCCAGGCCTGATTTCTGAGTTAACATGAATGAAATTATTCTTAGCCTGTTTGAATCTTAGACAGATATGCAAAAGAGATTTATGTCCCAAACCTTCTTACTAATATATAAAATGTTTTTTTTCTTTTTCCTTCCTTCCTTCCTTCCTTCCTTCCTTCCTTCCTTCCTTCCTTCCTTCCTTCCTTCCTTCCTTCCTTCCTTCCTTCCTTCCTTCCTTCCTTTTCTTCTCTTTTTTTTCAGTTTTACACTATTTACACTAAGATTTATACAATGTGAGTACAGGAAAGGCCTGCACTTTTGACTTAGGTTGTTGAAGTTCCTTCTACTAACATCTAGGGCTTGGAATAATACCCTAGTTCTTACCCTCAGACACATAGTGGTTAAGTAGCACCCCTCCCTGCCCCCAAGGTCATGGCCAGCCTGTGTCAGAAGTAGGATTTTTTTAAATTCAATTTTGTTTTCAATTAACAAGCTTTTTCTCTTCCTTCCTAGTTTTTCTCTTCCTCTCACCTCCCTCCCCCAAGTCTTAATCTCTATAAGCCCAGCTTTGTAGACACTGGTCAACACTGCCTCTGTTAAAACATCTAATATCATCCTTGTGCAGAGGCCAGGGTAACTTTTTTTTTCCTGCAAAGTCCCAATTTTAGTATATGTACTGCCCGAGTGAGCACTTAGTAAGATTTCTTGAAATTTACAAAAAACTACTAGGAGGCAGCCTGCCAGTGGAGAGAGGGTTAGGAGAGTGAATAAAGTCCAGGCTCAATGCTTATCTTTCACTCCTAGAATGGTGTGAGCCTGGGTGTGCCAAACCATAGGTGCCATCCCCAGAGCAGCTGTCTGCAGAGCTGTAGGTCTGCATGCTTAGAGGGAATTGACCTGCTCCACACCAACAAACCCACACATCTGGAATAAAAAACATCAAAACCTCAACAATGAGGTCGTCAGAGTTGTCAATGAAACCATTTGAAAACAGCCTCAGGCCTGTCAGTCTACTCACAATTGGTGATAGGGTCATGTTAGCCCTGCATCCCTCTACACATACACGCATATAGACACACAGATTCTACCTCTCACCTCATGTCAACCCTACTTCATTTTAACGAAAAAAGAAGGCATGGTTGAACAAAACAATTTTTAGTACCAACCAGGGCGGACCATGGCTGAGCTGGGGGAGTGGGGAGAGGAGTATGAGTGTGTCCCTTTCCTCCTCCATTCCATGCCCCAGGTCAGTCAATGTCTGCAGACTCCTAGGGGCCTGGAAGGCTCAGTAGGAATCCCACCCTTAACCACACTCAGTCTGAATTCTAAGACCACTCGATAATAGCCAATGGTAATCCAAGCATGGTCTACCCTCTATTCCTTCCTGACTCTCCACCTCCCACTAGCCTTCTGACCTCTCTGTATTGGAAACACAGCCTGTCCAAGTAAACAGAAGCATCTAGATCTGCCTGGTTCTTGCTTTTGAAAGTTTTCATCTTTTTAACTCTGGACAGCTGCCCAGTGACCAGATGTAACCCACTGACGAAAAACTAGCTGGCTAGGGAGTGATAAGGGCCCAATTTTGGTCCAGGCTCTAATTTCATGGGCAAGCTGCTCCTTCTCCTTCAGATGATTGATTTGTGAGAAATGTCCAACTTTGTGGAACCAGTGGTGCTGAGGGGGTGCACCATTGCTTGAGTGTGAGTACACACACAGCCACACACACACATACACAGACACACACACACACACACATACACACACAGAGATCAGGGCCTTGCCTTCCAATGGGCTGACATCTGACATGTGGGACATGCTTTCCAACCCTGATACAAAGGACAGAGTGGGATTCCTTACCTATACTTTGTGTTGTGGCAGCTAAAGGAACCATGTTCTGAAGGGCCAGGAGGTGCTTGACTGGAGGCCTTGGAGGTTTTGGTGGTGGACAGCCAAGGGTCTCAATAGTTGGCAATGGTCTTATTTTAGGGAGCTGGATATCCCTGCCAGAAATGTGTGTTTCTGAGAAGAGAATGGAGGTCACGTCAGTTATGAATGTGACCCGTCAGGTCAACAAGCCTTTCTTAAGCCCCTGCTATATACCAGGCACTGAAAACCCAGTTCCTTCCTTTAAGGAGGCTGATTTCTATGAGGAGAAGCAACACACACACAAATAAGGGCAACAGTGAAAAGTAGACGGAGGGAGTACAAAGTGATCTCTGAGAGGGGAGAAGAGCCTGAGCACCTGAGATGTGGCCCAGGTCAGGAAAGGGCTTCTGTAGCAGCTGTCACTTCAACTGAGTCTGGGAAGATCTAGGGGTTCTACAAGGCAGAGATGAAGAGTGAGATCATATGCAGTCTGTGCAAAGATGAGAGTCAGGAGATGGCTTGTCATTCCAGATCTGGTCTAGAAACGTGGTTCTGGAAATTTCTAAAGACTAAAATGTCCCAGAACTTTAAATTCTAGAAATCCAGAAAATTTTAAGAGCCTCCTCAAATCTAGAAATTCTAAAAAATAAAAATCCCTAGAAATCTAGAAATGGAGGCAACGTGGTAGGATGGAAAAAGCACTAGCCAAGAAACCAGAAAAAAATCAGAAAAAGAGAGAGCATATGCAGTCTTTGCAAAGGCATAGAGTTAGGAGATGGCTTGTCATTTCAGACCTGTCCCATTTGGCTCTAGGAATTTCCAAAAACTTCCAGAAGCCAACAATGTCTAGAACATGGAATTCTAGAAATCCAGAAAATTCTGAGAAGCTCTCTCCTGCCCCCCATCTAGAAATTCTGTAAACATTTCCCTAGAAATCTACAAGCAGAGGCAGCACGGTAGGGTGGATGAGCAGTAGTCAAGAAAGCAGAAGACTTGCGTATGAAACAGTACCTGTCCCAAGGTCACAGAAGTGACAAGTGTGCCAGCATTTGAACCTTCTCTATGACTTACTAATTCTATAGCCATGGGAGAGTCACTTAACTTTTATCAGCCTCAGGTGCTATGGGGAAAGTAAAGCGCATAGCTGTAGAATCCAGCTCACAGGAGTGTTGGGAAGAAAGCATTTTTCACCTTTCAAAATAAACTCAACACAGTGTATTGTCTGTTACTTTTCTTTGTTCTTATGGCTTTCCCCCTGGAAGTACTAGGTATTCTCTTACCTCTCTATCTGCTGAAGCATGTAGCAGGGTGCTATGCATACAGTAGGTGCTTTATAAGTAAGGTGTGGGCTGGCCAAAGAGAATGCATGAATGAATAACTTGAATCTAAATTCCAAAGTTCTACATATGAATTTGATTTATTCTAAAACTTCCTGCATCTTAGTTTTCTCATCCATAAAATGAATAAAAATCCTACCTGCCTCAGGTGGTAGTGAAGGAGGGTTTGGTGAGATGTCATTTATTATTGCTAATAAACAAAATAATTGGACTGGAAATTAGATGCTTTCTTTCCCTCTCAGGAAACAGGTCAGGAAAGGGAAGAAAAAGGGGCACTCAAGCAAGTGGATTTTGGAGGGAAAGATCTCACTCAATGCAAATACACCCATCAAATGACCTCTATAAAGTGCAAATGTAATTCTTAAGGGTGACCTTAATGATACAATACACGCAAGTATTTCTGTCGAGAGGATGAATATTCTCCATTCCTACCTGTGTTAGATCCATTAAGGTCATTCATGAAGCCACCAGAGATGGGGGGAAGAATACTACTGATGCCTGATAGAAGGAGTACAAAGAGAAAAAAAATGAGGGAGGACAGAGGACTCTCAGAAGTTCCATCCAACTTGTTCATGTAGATGGGTTCCCCCACAGTTTCCATCCCTGCTCCTCTCTCTCTCAGGATTGGTAGCACCATATATTCCAGTCTATGCTGTATGTGCAGGCTTGTGGGCATGCCTCATCCCTTACCACCCTGCCAACCCCCCTTCACCCCTCCACCCCCATGCCAAATTATTTTGTACACCGTTCCTCATCCCCAAACCCCCAACACACGTGTACGTGCACGCTTACACACACACACACACACACACACACACACACACACACACACACACACACACACACACACACCCTCACCCCAACCTCCTTTCCAAATAGTTAAAAGAGAACTTGGTGTAGTTGTAGTTGTGATATGATTGAGGTGGTTAAGCCAGGTAGGCTTTTTAAACCAACCAGCAAAGGAAAAGAGATATTGAACCCCTCTAGTAGAGCAAAGAAAACTCATCAAACAAAATAAAAAATCAGATGGGTTCCTAGATTGTAATCACTCGTGCTGACAATGCAAGATACCAAAGAAGAATGAGTCACTTCTGGGGGGGGGAGGAGGGAGGAGCGAGGAAAGGGACCTTGTTAGCTGGGAGTGGTGGTGGAAGGATGGGGTGGGTCCAGCAAAGTCTAGAGGATCATTTGTCATGTGGGTAGTAGACACTCACAGTAAGCTCGTGGTCTTCTAAAACTCTCAGATCTTTTTTCAAAATGAAACACTCCCATATTAAAATTCATTAAAGTTCAATTTGGCCACTTTTTGTGACTTACTCTGTATATACTCTGTCCTATGTTCTGGGAGATAAACAAAGAAAGCACAGGGCATGGTTCTTGCCTTGGTGGAGTTCAATCCTCACTATGGGCTGAGCCAACCTGTTAGTTTACATAACCCTCATTATAGTCAGGCCTCATGTTTCTACAGCACCTTAAGATTTACAAAGGACTTTCCTCACAAGGAGGAGGTAAGGAGTGCAATCATTATTATCCTTACAGTTGGTGAGACTCAAGAAAGGTTAGGTCGAGAGGATTTAACCCATAACTTCTGACTCCAGAGCGAGCTCTAAGCCTAACTGCATCATCCTAATATGGATGGAGCTGGAAGGGACTTCTGGGTTAGCCCATCCCAACTGACATTAAAAAAAGAGAATCCCCTTAGGTGTGTAGGTGATAAGTGCTTATCAAGCCTCCATTGAAGGGAAGACCTCCATTGAAGGGAAACCCATCCCCCTCTTGAATCCATCCCACTTCTGCCTCTTAACACTGTTAGTATGAGAAATTATAAAGAAATGTGGTATGGTAGATGGGGATGTGCTTGGGAGTCAGGAAAATGCAGCTTTGAATCCACCTCAGTGATGCACGAGCTGTATGACCTTAGATAAGTCACTCACATACCTAAGCCTCAGCCCCTCATCTGTAAAATGGAGACATAGGACTAAGATGGCCTCCAAGCTTTCTTCCAGGTTTAAACTCATGATTCTATGATCAAACTTTGGTTGATTGAGCCCTTCATTTTACATAAGGAAACTGAGTACCATAGAAATTAAGGCTCCTTAGGTGTTAAGTGGCAAAGACGGAATTTGAACTCAGGTTCTCAGAATCCATCCCCAACATTATTTTACTGGAATCATCAGAATGATACCTCCTATACGTCAGAGTCACTCTTAGTTTCAGCACAGCCATGAGTCCAACTTTTAAGTTGCCATTCCAACAAACTTAGGTTGGGATGAAAATTGGAGAGGGGGGTCCAGGGAGAGGGCACAGAGGATGTAATCTAAGAAGCTTGGACTCTCCACCAAATAGGAATGAAGTTAGATAGGTGGAACCAAAATGTCTTCATTGGTGTCACAAGCAAACCTCCTTTTCATTCTGTCTTGTTAAAAATGGTGAAAGTTTTTCTAGTGCCTTTTTCTTAAACCATGAGGTCATGAAGCATACAGCTAATAAGAGATAACACATGGTATAAAAAAGGATTTGGAGGAGGAGGAAGAGGACCTGTTTGAATCACAATTCTACTAGTTACTTCCTGTGAGACCTGGAGGCAAAGAACTTTTTTCAGCCTCTTTCTTTCTTTCTAAAATGATGGTGGGGGTAGGGAGAGTGGATTTAGATGATCTAAAACATCTGATACATTTTTTTGGGAAAATAACAAAAGAAATCCCTTTCCCCAAATAAGAAATGTCCAAAACAATATACCTTGAGGATCTAGAGCTAGCTCATTGAGGTCTACTGCTTCATAAATAGGCAGTGATGGGGTATTTTCTCCGCCCTTCCTATGGTTTGTATCTTCTTGGCTTGTGGAACTGCTTAAAGAAGGAATCTTACATAATTCTTTGAAAGAGGCAAATGTTCCTGTCTCAAAAGACTTTTTGATAGAAGCCACCATTGGCCCTAATCTTCTTTCAGTGGATGACAGAGAAGTCTCAGAAGTATCATTGAAAGACGTCAGTGTTAGGCCTGGTCGCCGGTTACTAAATGAACGAGGTATATTAAAAGACACTTTGATGGAAGACACTGTTTGCTGCATTCTTCTGTCATTGGCTAAGGAAGGAATCTCAGAAAACTTCCTGATAGGGGTGAGTGTTGGCCTTGGGTTTGTATCAGTAGATGAAAAAGGAAACTCTTTGAAAGGGGTAAGTGCTGTCTCTGGGCCCTTGTCACTGGACAAACAAGGTGTCTCAGGAGGCTCTTTGATAGTGGTAAGTAATGTCTTTGGCCTTTTATCAGTGGATGAAGATCTCTTCAAATATTTTTTGGCCAAAGACACTGTTGGCCTAAGTCTTCCATCAATGAATGTCAAAGGAATATTAGAAGTATCTTTGAAGGAGGTCAGCGTTGTCCCTGGCCACCTGTCATTGAGTACAGAAGGTATCACAGAAGAATTTTGAAAAGAAATGACTCTTGGTTCTGATAGTCTGTCAGTAGATGAAGAAGGACTCTCAGAAGACTCTTTGACAGAGGTAAGTGTTGTCCCTTGGCTTCTGCCATTGTCTAAAGAAGGAATATCAGAAGACTCTTTGAAAGAGGCAAGTGTAGTCTCTGGTCTTTTGCCAACGGAAGTGGAAGGAATCTCAATAGACTCTTGGATAGGGGTAAGTGTCCCTGGCTTCTTGTCACTAGCTAAAGAAGGAATCTCAGAAAACTCCTGGACAAGGGCTAGTGTGTCTGGTTGCCTGTCAGTGGGTGAGGGAAGAATCTCAGAAAACTTTTGGATGGGGGGAAGACTTGTCCCTGGCTTCCTGTTATTGGGTAAGGAAGACATTTCAAAAAACT